GCTGCTAAAATCTGGAACAGTCTTCCTGGAGATGTGAGACAGGCCTCCTCTCTGACAATGTTTAAAGCCAGGTTAAAGACAGTTCTGTTTAGCTGTGCATACAACTGAGGGATTTTATATTTGTATCTTTCTTTTTAATGTTCTGTGATTATTTATGATTTTAATGCTTTCTTGTTTTGTTCAGCACTTTGAATTGCCTTGTGTATGAATTGTGCTATATAAATAAACTTGCCTTGCCTTGCCAATCATCAAATCAGATCAGTGTATTTTTGTATCGCCCCAAATCACAATCTGGTCTCAGAGGATGTTACAGAATTGTTTTTTGGCAACAGTAGATTAGTGAATCAAACAATTGGAAACATATAAAACCAACACAAATGATAATAAAACACATATTTGTCCATTTAAAAATTATGTTATCTCACATACATGAATGTCCTGACTGAATGTTATGACGCAAAATCAATCTTCAAGAATCTCCAACTTTGTTCATCGCTGTGGGTCAATTTGTCCTCTGCATTTAACCCATTCTTCTATTCCAGTGCTGACCTGTCAGGAGCAGTGGTCGCCACAGTCCAGTGCCCACCGAACCGTCTCCAGGAGTTGGAGAAACCATAGTGTCATACAGTCCTCGTTCTACAGTCTGCTGGAAGCTGATCCCTCTCCCAATATGGGCTTCCCTGAGGTTTCACACTTTTTTCTTACTGGGTTTTTTGAGTCGTTCCTTGCCAATGCAGGAGGGACAGTTCGTCCGGGACACTTATGAACACTGGTCATCCTATGGATCAATGACTCCTATTCTATGAATTTGATTGAATAATGTTATCGGGTGATGGGTTAAACCTGAGCGCCTGGAGAAAACCAACCCAGACACAGGGAGAGCAAGCAAAGTCCACACAGAAAGGCTTGGGCGACACAGGATAGAACTCAGAACCTTCTCTATGTGAAGTTTGACTGAGCCATTATTCTGTTGATCTGGATTTGGACCTATCTCTGCACTGAAACATCTGCACAGGTTTAATAGCTGTTAAATGCAGCATCTTTACAAAAAAAGAGAAAATATTTACCGTTAAATTCTCCTTTGTTCAACGCAATATGAAACATGGCCAAATCACCAATGTATTTTTGAACAGGATTATTTTACATTTAAAAAAATTACCACCCCATCCATAGTTGTCATAAACACTTAAGCCCGTATGAGGTGTTAGAATATTAATTTGACTAAAGATTTCATTTCTGATTTGGTATCAGTAGAGGGTACTTGCAAAAGCAACCAGGGGTTAGGGTTAGTTGTTCTGTCAATTGTATTGGAAAATAAAAATAGAATTAAGTGACAAAACCTTTAACCAATGGATTCATGTTTAAGTGGCCCGTTAATTGCTATTCTTTGAATATGATGTCACCGATACTGTATTTGGTGAATGCAATGTTAGACCTCTGCATGACCTGTATTAATTCACTCGTTGTCACAAAATGCCAATTGTCTGATGCAAAAATATAAATAATATTTACCAAGAAAACTCTTCACTTACAAATGTAGCCTGTCACAAGAATCTATGCTTCCACAGTCTCTCCCCAACTCTGCCCTGTGCCCGCCCGCCTGCGCCCTCTGTGGGGGCTGACCTTGTGGAGGCACTGGGGCAGAATGATGCCCTGTGATTGGCTTTGCGCCTGGAGGGAGCGTTTGCCCGGGACAGGCCACAGATGACAGCCGTGTCAGCAACAGCGGTAGAGACAGGGGCAATTCATTTAAAAGTTCTCATGATGTAAACAATTATTTACATACTGTATGAATGAAATTTTTTTTTAAATCAACGATGCACTTCAGTGACCTCATCTGCAATTCAGTCTGAAGTGCAGATAAAATAGTAAAAAAAAGTCAAATATCACATGGATTATGTCTGATTGATAATCTTTTGCATAGTATATACTAATTATATAGATTAAATGTAAAAAGTTCCTTATGTTTAAAGCTTACAAAGTGTTTTTCTTTACAAGTTTATCTTGTAGAATAACTTAATTGTATACATGTATACACAGTCATACTCTTGTGAAATGTTTATAATTCAGAAAGAAATCTATTGCAATCTATATACATTTCTGAAAGATCACAACTGGTGAAGGTCATATCTACACAGCTGCTTGTTCTCACAATCATACAGTACCAATAATAGTAATGATGATAATACTGTTGTACTTTACTTTCTTACACTTACACTTACACGTACTTAGACTTTCATGCTCCACTCATTAACTTCACATGTTTGTAACTGTGTTTTATTATTAGTTCCTGTTTATTTTCAACTCATACATACATTTTTCAATTTCATACATACAGTATTAAATACATGTTGTTTCTCCCAACAGAAAGTGTGTTAAAACAACATTTATTTGTTTTATTTGGATGGAACAGTTAATAAACAGCCGCAACTGTAAATACACCAGATAGAAACCTTCTGTAGTCCCAGTCTCACTCACAAACATTCAACCCTCACCTACTGCACATGTTTTTAGTGGTAGGGGAAACCGGAGCACCCGGGAGGAACCTATGCATACACAGGGGGAACATGCAAACTCCACACAGAAAGGCCCAGTCTGGAGGTGGAACCCAGGACCTTCTTGCTGTGAAGCACAAGTAATAACCACTGGACCACAGTCAACAATCTGTCTTATTTGATATTTTAAATTCTGAGAGCTGATTGGCTATGTGAGGGCTGGAACTCTTGTTTACTACAAATGGAAATCTAAAGATGTGACAGAGGCCAACAATACATGTAAAAGAACCAAACTGTTTTGAGAGCAACATGATTTTTATTATGTTTTTTGTGTGGTTTCAGTTAGCTTTAAGTCATGAAAACGTGAATGCAACATAATTCATAAAATATATCTTTAGAAGAATAACAGTTTAGAATATTAATCTGTGTAATGCACAATATTGTAATCTTTTGAATAGGTTTCTTTAGTGCATTTTATTTTACCACTATTCTTAAACTGTGTTTGGTAATCAATTATAGAATAGGCCTATATTGTATGGACTAAGCCACAGATGTATACTTAAATCATTTGAACCACCGTTTTGCTCATCTAATCACCTCTGTATTTGTGTGTTTGCCCACTGTTCCGTTGAATTTATCCACAGCCGGACACAGGCCCACACCCTGCAGTCCTGTGATCTTTATTTGAACAGAGATGTCACTGACAAAAGATCATACAAACCATACAATTTGATAGAACTTTGTGCGTTTCAAAGAGGGATACATTTTGGGCGTATCAGAACATCTTAAAATTTACTTTTCTGAAACTGATGATTGCAAAATGGTTTCATATCACAAAACAAAAGCCTTTATGAACAAAATGTGTTGAAGTTGCTTTTTTAATCAAAGGGAGTTCCCCTGAAAATGGTGTGAGGGAGTAGGTTTGCTACTGCTCTTTTTAAACTAAAATCACAAATACTATACATCAACTTTGAATCTATACACACAGGACCCAATCCGACCCAATAACATATAGGCCACTTTATTTTCATACAAACATAGAAATAGAAAATTGCCATATTGTAAAATGAAGTAGATAACAGTAAATGTATCAAAACTAAGGGTAATAAATAAAATGAAAAAACAAACGAGAAACCGGACAGAATCTCGCTCCATGAACAATGGTGGAAGTGCATTTACTCAGTGTAGAATGACCGGCTTCATTTTTAGGAGATCATTCCATCTGTACAAATCCCTTTTGTCTTCAGTAACTAGTTTGACAGGATATTTTCAAGAAGTGTCAATGATGATGTGGAAATAATGAGATAAAGAAGAGGAATTTCACCTGCATCTTTGGATTGGTAAGGAGAAATAATACACAAAGTCAAACCCCTGCGGTGACCTGAAATCATTTCACCCAGTAGTTTGGCAGTGTCCCGAACGTGCACATTGGGTGTTGGTTTTCATCTTTTCAAACCCCTGTAGGTCACGTTTGGCTGCAAACTCATTCTCAAAATGTCAGTTGCATTAATAGTCACAAGTTAAAAAAATTATTAACGACATGATTAACAATAATAACACTATGTTTGTTCAATTTTGTCTTGTAAAAGGGAAATCTTGTGAACTCTGCAAGTCACTATTTACGAGTCACTCTCTTTCTTAACTTTTCTGTGTTAACAAAGCTAATCTAAAGCTATGACTGAGGCCAAAAGTACATGCATGTGAAAACGAGTGATAGAACTAGCTGGATTTTAGTACACTACACTTTCAAAAGTTGATACTCCAGCTTTAAGAAACAGGATATTATTAGAGCCCTGTAACAACTTATTGCTTATAAAATGCACATTTTATTTGTCCATATTTTCAGGGACAAATTTTAGGAGGTCATAGTGCAAATCCATACTACTCTTACTTTCATGGTGAGACCACTTTGACCTTCTTTACTTTTTATTTCTAAAAACTGAATCTACCAACATGAAACAGAAACACATTCAAACACATTCTCCTCATTTCCTTCCACCCAGTAGCATTATATATTCCTATGAAGATTTTACAGTCTACATACATACATTTTTAATTGTTTATATATACATATACTTTGAAACTCTTCTTTGCAATAACAGATTTTTTTTGTAGAGGGTTGAATATATCACTTTTAAAGCCAATTGTTTTCAGCTCCGGGCCTTTTTGTCCCTGTGAGTTATTCCTAAAAGGAGGTTGATCTTCCTTTAAAGTTGGTTCACAATATACTTGTTTTGCTCATATAAATACACACATATATATACTTACCCTGGAAGCATGTATGATTTCTGTCATTTTTCAGAGAATATTAACGATAAGAACTCGTTCCCCCTGAGCGTTAGTGGTTGGGTAAAGCAATGTCAAGGATTTTTACTTATAGTTTGCCTTCAAACCCACTTTGGCATTTATATTTAAACACTTATACGTGAGAAAGATGGCTTCATGCAATGATAAATGTTTTTGTGCAATCGTTCATATTCTCTGAAACCTCTAAAGCTTTGCGGTTTATTGTTTAGGTGCCTCTTGTTTAGCTTCTTCTGGTTTTGATGCATCTGGTTTCACCTCCTCTGCTTTGGCTTCTTCCTTTTTAGGGACCTCCTCTGCCTTTTTCTCCTCCTCCGGTTTGGGGGCCTCCTTTATCTCCTCTTTTTTTGGAGGTTCAGGTTTTGGCTCCTCTTTCTTCTCAGGACAAGTACTGCTCAAGTGTAAAGAAAGACAGAGTTAATATTATTGGCGGTACATGTGGCACAAGGCCTGCTCCATCATGACTGAAAATATAGATGGTGGTTATTTTCTGCTTTCTTATATTCTGCTGTACATTGAAATTTACCCACTGTCGGACAAATAAAGGCAGATGGAAAAAGCAGTTAATCAAAGAAGACATGACACTGCTCATTATTGTACATTAAGTACATTTGAAATCTCAATAATGATCTATAACAATTTCATTAAAAAGGGAGTGGCTCTTCCAGAAAATGTCACTGCATTTCTTTTTTCAATAAATTGAAAACTTGTTATGTGATGATTGAAATATGTCATTGCTTCTTGGACATATGCCTACATTTTAGACGATGATATAAATTTTTGTTCTTGCACAGCCCATTGTGGCTCAGAATGTCATCATGAAATACGCACCCTGGCAGTGAAGATCCCGGTTTGAGGTATTGACAAATGGGACTTTCTGCGGTGAGTTTCTCTTTTAGAGTTGCAATCTCCGCTTCCCAAGCCGTCTTCTCCTTCGTGCTGTCCTCTGACAAATTAAAAACACATCTGAGCACATTTTTTGTTGATGTATCATAAGTTTTAATATTCATTAAATGTTGTTCAATGCATTGTTGTGACTTGTATATTAGACTTGCTAGTTATGCATATACAGTGGTTTGAAAAAGTATTCATACCCCATGAACTTTTCCACATTTCGTCACGTCACCACTAGGGTTGCGTGATGGGATTTTCAATATTTTCCTGTATGTTCAAAGAAACTATTTTTGTTACGTTTATAAACAACTTCTGTTGCAGTCTCCGTGTAAACGACCCCTTAGTTTTCCACCACACAGCATTTTGCATTTAGGCTGGAGGAGGAATGTGTGTGTCCCCGATGGTTCCTTGTGGCTTTACATTTACCACTCCATAAAAACCAGATTAGTTTAGAGCATGGTCCGCCCAGAAGTTTAATACAAAAAAATAATACAGAAGTTAAATATTTACCTTGGAAAGTTTTTTGTTGTGCTTGAAGAATTGCCATTTCATCCATTACTTTTTTCTGTCAAAAAAACAAAAACAAAACAAAAAACTAAAAATTGAGCATAATTATTCATCAATATTTAGATTGAACTGTGATCCTCAAGTTATAATTCTGCTGCTGGACATCTGAATATCTCCTACGGGGGAACAATACATTATCCATCTATCTATCATTCCTTGAAAGTAGAGCAATGATGACCTTGCACCATCTCAGTTTAAGGAAACTCTCTGGGGACAAAAGCTAAAGTATGACCCAGGATTAAAGGCGCCTAAAGTAAATATTTAGTTGGATGGATGGATCTCTCTGCAGATGAACTTAGAGTAAGCATAGCCTACATATATTACAATAAATAACTAAATGTATTCTGGCATACACAGCTAGGGTTTGCTAGCTAACTTAGTTTGAAGTCATGACTTAGAACCAGGAAGTAAATTATAAATGTGTTGTCTTGCATCAAAAGGTATTTTTCCCCATAGGGCCATTCCTCCTCTGCATTTGACCCATCCAGATGACACTAGGACGTCAGGAGCAGTGGTCGTCATAGTACCCGGGAACCTAATGTGGATATTTTTAGTGGTAACCGGATCACCTGGAGGAAACCTGCCGGGAGAACATGTCAACTCCACTTAGAAAGACCTAATTCCGACCGGGATTCGAACCCAGGACCTTCTTACTGAGAAGCGTGAGTGCTAAGTTGAAACAGTTACACCTCTATATCTTGGCTATTTTGTAATGTGCAATATGGTGACATTACACCCACCTTGGCAGAACTGCAAGCATCCATCTCTCCTTTCTTCTCCCCGGGCACCAGTTGATCTATCCCCTTTTTCAGCTCCTCTTGCGCAAGTTTCTGCTTCTCCATTTTCTGCATGGTGTCCATTTTTTCCTTCTTATACTCATTTAGCACATCGTCTGTCACCCGTAACTTCACGTCTAAAAACTTGTCCCTTCTCTCCACATCAATTATCTCTTCCACGCGAAACTTCATAAGTGCGAGCGAAGCCACGGAGACGGCGACGGAAAACGGGATCAGCAGATGCACCTTCATTCTGCTGCTGACAAATCTACGAAAAAGTGAGTTCAATTCAGTGTATGAAATGAAACACCTCCTCTACCTGCCTGTGTGGATTTGGCACAACAGCCAGCCAATCAAGTTCCACTAGTGTCCCTAAATACACGCCCCTATCCGGGTTTGGAACACCTGTAAAGATTGGCTGGATCACACGGAAGGGCATGCATCTGTTAATATAATACATCCATGGTTTTATCTCTTCCTTTTCCAAAGACTTAGATATGTATCTGATCTTCCTCTTCAACCATGTAGCATACATTTAGTTCCCATTGTCTAAAAATTAAGATTAAAAGATCATGTATTCGTCCCACGGTGGGGAAATGTCAGTGTTGCATCAAAAGTTACGGAACACAAACACAAAATAAGTAAGTAAGTAATGTTTATTTATTGTAATGTTTATTTATTGTAATGTTTATTTATTGTATTGTTTATTTCCAGCGCTATTTACAGACCAAGCTCACCCAAAGCCCTTTACAATGTTCAGAGTTCAAAATAGACAAGTGAATTCTTGAAAAATAAAATCTATAATGTTTTTCCTATACCTCAGAGTATCAATAAGTGACAAAATATATAGTTTAATGTGATTCTACTGTGTGTTAGCAGCATAAACATGGCAGTATGGGTAAATGAATGTCATTAGTCTCAATGAATTAAAGATGCGGCTATAGAAACTTAAGCAATAAGTAATACAATATTCTTTGTCACACAGTGGGGACACTCCTGAATATTCTAGTGCAGTGAATTTCATTTTTATCGTGATTTGTGACAAGGAAATGACCGCCTCTATGCCCCACGCAGCAGGAGCAGCAGCAGCAGAAGACCCGCCTATCCTGCAGAGCGGGTTGCACCGGTCACGCACGGTCACGCACGGTCACGCAGAGCCAGGTGAGGCACGCAGTGGAGCGTCAGGTGCACGGACATAAGGACATGGTTACACGGTGATCGCTTTCTGCTATTTTTGAGCGGGTTTTACGTTTTGCAAACATGAAGCTGGTAGAGTTAGGCTCCATAGCGTGTTTCGCGGTCATGGTCGTGATGGTGTACCAGGTTGTGCGACAAGAAATTAACCGTAAAATGCTTTTCAATTCTGTAATGGACAAATCCACGCGCTTTAAAACACAAGAAAGTGAAGTGGCGACTATGAAAAAGACAGTGATGGGAATTGGACCAATGTTACAATCCTTGAACGTGATGAACGAGGAGCTGAGGAAAAGGAAAGACAACCTCCTGAGGGACAAGCTCGTCCTGGAAGAAAGTATCGTCACATGCAACAAGGAAAAGGTGAATTTCAGCTTTTCCAAATCATTCTATTGTCTTGAATCGAGTTTAGAACTGCTGCCAAAGCCAACTTCAAATGTTAACAATTATTGGGGCCATTGTTTCTTTAGGATGAAGATACTACCAAACTAAGTGAAGCTTCTGAGTCTTTGAAAAAACTGAAAAGTAAGTGGTTGTGTATTCTTATTTGTCTATCTCGTGATACTATGGAAAAAGAGGATTTAAATTCGAGAGAGGTTGTTTAACTTTAGACCTTTAGACTATGTAGCTTTTTTGCTAGAAGTTACACCTGAATACTTTCCCTGGATACTTCACTTTCCTGAGAAAAGTAAGATGTCCCTCTGATAAGTTAATGCAATTAGAAAAGCCTACATAACTGACCCTACCTTCATCAGATAATGTACATAATGCATACATATAAATTACATTTCGGAGCCAGAACTAAATCATTGTTGTTTATTTTGTTTTTCCCCTCTGAATGTAAAGCTGAACACGATGATGGGAAAGCAAATGCTCAAAAGGAGATAGAAAGTCTGAAACAACAGATCCTGGACAGAGATAAGGCCATTTGTGCCTTAGTGGATACAACAAAAGCAGAGGCTCGGTAAGATTATAGGTTTTTCATTTTAAAATGTTCTGTGATTTTACTTGTTGGTCATTAGTGTGGGATTACAGACAGGTCTGTATGTGTTCCTGGCAGTATAGACTGGGGTCTGTACTGTAGAACAAAGCAGCAGAGTTTCAGGTTATCAAAAAGAACAACAAGAGAGGGTACAAATCCATACCAAATTAACAAAATAAATGTTTAGAGTCTTCTTCATATACATAATTCACTGTTTGGATCTGGAATCTTGAATGACATTTATTGGACACATGATTCTAACTTGCACTCAAACTTTACCTTCAAGTAGTCATTATTTGTCTTACAGTTACAATATGTACTTTGGTGTGGATAATCCACACACATTATCCTCCTGCTATCCGCGTTATTAACATCTATTTTTAATTTTCCAGGAAGCTGTGTGGATTAGGTGATGCACAATAAATGCCACCTGTCAAACCAGTGAAATGATATTGGACAGATCACATCTCAAGCAGTGTCAATGCTGGTTTGTCTGATTCAATATGAATGGAGAAATATTAGTGGCCACAAAGAATATCCTCTGAATGCAACTGATGTTTCAGCAAACTGTAACTTTGAGTAAATGAAACGTTTCACTTCTGCACCCTCTAGTAGAGCTTAGTTGGTGGCTTTATGGGGTTGATATCGACTTTGTATTTTTTGTATTACATGTAATTAAGGTTATAGGACATGGTATAGACATTCATTTTCTATTCCAAAAAATGTGTGAAATAATAAACTTGTTTATTGAAGAGTGTTTTTTTGTATTTTTCAACAGCCACTCCTCCATAAAATGACAATTTATGTGGTCTAATCAAATACTCTCACCCCCATGCTGTTGGCCTGGACCCCTTTTTGCAAAGTTCTGCCTTTGGACATACGGAATGAAGCCCTTATTATAGATCCATGGATGGAGCAAGTCACACGATTATAGTTTAATCATGTATGTTTGGTCTTATAACAAGGTGGGATTACAAGGTATTATTTGTATCTGGTTTTGTCTTGTATCGGAGGTAGTGCCTTAAGCTGTCAGTAGGCGGCAGTAACGTCATACATCCTGAACATGAACCGGAGTCTTACACAATTTGTAGGTTCCTAAAAACGTAATATGGAAGATATTTGGTAGGGGACTTTGTTTAAAAAATATTTCATTTCTTTTAGTACTTCTGTCTCTTTATGAAAGTCTGGTCATTTCTCTACAATCTGGCAACCCTGATTTGAACAAGCGAAGACGCATACACTACACGATAATAGATAATATAATACATCCATGACTACACATGGCAAGAAATAAAATACATTGAAAACACGAATGTCAGGGTTAAAAAAAAATATAATTAAAATAAACGTAAAACGCGTCATTACAAGCCACGCCCACATCGCCTCATGTTGACAGCATCCGCAACTCCGAGTTTTGCCTTTTACTCGTAATTCTTCAGTCTTTTAAACTTACTATGAGTTATTTGGTATAGAATAATCACGCACAAATGCCGAAAGACACGTGACTGTTCTCTTTCTTCGGTGCTGCGTGTGGAGCAGGTGAATCTGGGGAAAGGTTATGGCTAGGTTATATGCTGGTTGTTGTAATGCTATGTTCAAGGGCTTTCAGACTCTCCGCATCTTGAAAACACGTCCTTCTCTTCACACGGGATTTCAGGCTGATAAACTGATACACACCACAGTGGTATGTCATATACTTGTTATGGTCATAAGCTTATTTAACTACTTTACATTGATTTTTCTTTCCGTGGATGAATGGCGCTTCCAGATGCGTCTTTCTGATGTAACTCAGAAAATACCTGATGTAATAATGTGTGACTGTCTCATGAATCTGTTATTATAACTAAGTCTCTATCGAATCTAAGCAGGTTCGGCCCATAAATTGTATGATCGTTCCTCTTATGACAACCTTTTATATGTCTAAAAATATGAACATATATGTAAATGTGTCATCAGGCAGGTTGTATTTTTTAGACCACCTCATTTTATATGTTATATGTAATTTTTTTTAACCAGGAAAATACCAAAGATATTCAAATGTACCATTGAGATTGAAGGATCTCAATGGAATCTCAAGGAAAGGCAAGTTTATTTGGATAGCACAGTTTATACACAAGGCAACTCAAAGTGCAACTCGTTTATAAAAGGTTAATAAAAGCCCTGGAATTGTGGAACTATATTATTTGTACATTAACTCTAGAAAATTAACTTCTGTCTCTATAAAGACATTTGTGACGGTTCCAGGCAATGTTACAGGTCAGAGCTGTGAAAAGAATGTTTGTGCTGATTTGAGACGATACATTATCTCTCAGCTTTTGTTTGTTGTGATGCAATGTTGTAACCATAATGCTTTCATCTATGTCAGAGGCTACCAGGAATTTTCTCTCCACGGCCGAGAGACTTCAGTCTACCAAACTCGTCATGGAGCCCCAAAATGATGGAACTTTACGATCATTACAACAGCCAGTGCGATTTGGAAACAGAAGACATAGAATCACAAAAGGGACCATGGATCAGACTGCCGAGCTATAACCGCATTCTTAAATATGCCAAAGGTAATAAAACTACTAGTGAGAATACTGTTTAGCTTTAAGGAAGAAAAAAAAACTCCTCATAAGTGTACATTTTGTTTTAAACCTTTGACTGGCTGAAATTAGGGTGGTCCTAGGTCTGTTAATTACATTTTAGTAAACGTAACATTTTGATATTTATGTATTCAATTGTAAGAATTCACATTGCAGGAAATATGTCTATGTAAAAAAAAAAACTAAAGTCAGATTGGACTGCAACTCTCCCACTAGAGCAAAGGCCCCAGCAAAGAAATACATTGTGAATACTAGTTTGAAAGGGGAACAAAAACACAGTCCCCTATGATAGAAAACATAACATGAAGAAACGTTGTTCATTGGTGCTATGCTATGTAAAATGTCTAATTTCTTAAAGTGTGGCTCAAGTTGTAGCTCTCTTGTTATACTCTTTGTATATACATATTCTTACCTTCAGGTGGCGTGTACCTGAGCAAAATTATGCAGTCAAAGGCGAGACTTTTCACCAGGAATGTTTATCAAGTGGGAGCATCTTTTGAGTACGTCATCTTTTTGAACAAGGAGGAGAAGAAATGTGTTTGCTTATTCCAAGCAGGACATCTTCTGGAGGGGCCGCCTGGGTATGGTCACACGTCCCTGCCAATTATAAGGAATTGTGAAAAGAGTTAAACACCGTTTCTTTGTCCCATAATTGGGCAATTCAAGCTTTGGAACTGTAAATGGACTAATAATAATATAATATAACTTATTATAATAGTGCAATACTTAATAATGCAACTTCTGACAAACATACATAAAGACTGTGATAAAAAATAATAAAACATTCACATAATTGAATATGATTAAAGCAAACAAAATTGCTGAGTTGTTACAAGCTAGAAAACACATGTAATTTGCCTGCCTCTGGTTATTATTGTAGTATTATGAAAATGGATAATATAAAAGTATAAAATGTGTTTTTCAGTCACGTTCATGGAGGAGCGATAGCCACCATGATTGACACAGTAACAGGGACACACGCCACGTTTCTCTCTGGACTCGTTGTGACGGCAAACCTCAACATCAACTATCGAAAGTAAGTGACTTTAATGGTATTTTGTTCCATCAGCTTTTGGAATAATATTGTCAACTAATAGGAATATTGATAAAAACTAATTAATAAAACGTTTTGGTCCACTAAATGTGAGTAGTATTTGTAAACTTTATTATCAATGATTGTGAGGAATGAGGGACGACCTTTCAATCCCTGAGCACGATGAACACAGCACAGAGAGAGCGGACTCTGCTGCATGTATCGTACATGGTTCTGGTTCTATTGGGTTCACTTGGGTGAAAATGCTTCACTGTTCACATCTGTTTCAAAAGATGTGAACTGACAGTTTTTTGCCCCAAATGAAGCAGAATTGGTTCAAGTGACCCAATCCAACAATGTCAAAGAGCTATAAATAACGATTAACCATTCAAATCATTGTTTATTTTTTTCTAAAACTACTATGAATTTAGTTTTTCTACATTCTTAATAAGGAAAAAAAGAAAAGAAAAATATGACTTAATCATTATCAAAAAAGAATAAGATGAAAACCAAAATGGATTGTCTGTTTAACTCTTGTCAGTGATGGTTTTGACCCGAGGAGTCATTGGTTATTTTTCGCTGTGAACACCAACATCAAATCATTTAGAGCGCTTTGCAATTGTAAAGACATTGAAACATGGACAGTAAAAAGACACTTTTTGTCTGTTAACCTTTTATCTTCCCTTCACAGCGCCATTCCCTTAGGGAGCACTGTGATACTAGAGTCCACTCTGGACCACATAGAAGGCAGAAAAACACATATAAACTGTAAAGTGACCAGCGCGGATGGGTCCAAAGTGCACACTGAGGCCACAGGTAAGACTGGGGCTGGGCTCTGATCCGTCATTACAACTGTTTAGAACTGTGCTTCTGGTATAAGAGCAAGCTTCTCACAGGCATGGAAAACCAGGAATGGAATGGAAACGGGAAACTTCTTTTAGTTTTTGATGTCTTTTAGTTTATTTTCAATTTATAAAATACAGATATGTTTTGTTTAGTTTAGTGTATTTATTCATTTGAATGTAAAATGTAATTTATAACTAGAAACTTGCAATGGCTGAAGCCATTGCGATTGACTGCGGAACAGATCTAATGTGGAAATCTGCTAAAAAAAATCCTTGAAATCCTTTAAAAAGCCTTGAAACTGTTAAAATACTTGATAGATATTTGAAACTCCTGAAGTCCTTGAAATTGTTGAAACCTTTAAACTCCTGAAATCCTTGAAACTGTTGAAACATTGAAACTCCTGAAATCCTTGAAACTTTTTTAAACCTGGAAACTGTTGAAAGTGTGGAAACTCCTGAAATCCTTGAACCTCCTGATATCCTTGAAACTGGTTAAATTCTTAAACAGCTGAAATCCTTGAAACTACTGAATGTATTTGAAAGTGTCCTTGAAACTGAAAAATCCCCTCACCGCTGAAACAATTTGGTTCCTGTAACTAAGGAAACCTGGTCTGTGGTCATTATCTGGTGGTGGTCTGAGTCTTCGTTTGGGTCTTGGTCTGGTGGTATAATGCAACCTATTAGGTTGCATTATACATGAAAAAACCCTATTAAGTTGCATTATACTGGTTTACATGGAAAAATCCCTATTAAGTTGCATTATACTGGTTTACATGGAAAATCCCTATTAAGTTGCATTATACTGGTTTACATGGAAAAATCCACATTAAGTTGCATTATACTGGTTTACATGAAAAAAACCCTATTAAGTTGCATTATACTGGTTTACATGAAAAAAACCTATTAAGTTGCATTATACTGGTTTACATGGAAAAATCCCTATTAAGTTGCATTGTACTGTTGTTTACATGGAAAAACCCCTATTAAGTTCCATTATACTGGTTTACATGTAAAAAAAAAACCCTATTAAGTTGCATTATACTGGTTTACATGGAAAAATCCCCATTAAGTTGCATTATACTGGTTTACATGAAAAAAAACCCTATTAAGTTGCATTATACTGGTTTACATGAAAAAAACCCTATTAAGTTGCATTATACTGGTTTACATGGAAAAATCCCTATTAAGTTGCATAATACTGGTTTACATGGAAAAATCTCCATTAAGTTGCATTATACTGGTTTACATGAAAAAAACCCTATTAAGTTGCATTATACTGGTTTACATGGAAAAATCCCTATTAAGTTGCATTGTACTGGTTTACATGGAAAAATCCCTATTAAGTTGCATTATACTGGTTTACATGAAAAAACCCTATTAAGTTGCATTATACTGGTTTACATGTAAAAACCCCTATTAAGTTGCATTATACTGGTTTACATGGAAAAATCCCTATTAAGTTGCATTATACTGGTTTACATGGAAAAATCCCTATTAAGTTGCATTATACTGGTTTACATGGAAAAATCCCTATTAAGTTGCATTATACTGGTTTACATGGAAAAATCCCTATTAAGTTGCATTATACTGGTTTACATGGAAAAATCCCTATTAAGTTGCATTATACTGGTTTACATGGAAAAATCCCTATTAGGTTGCATTATACTGGTTTACATGTACAAATCCCTATTAAGTTGCTTTATACTGGTTTACATGTAAAAACCCCTATTAGGTTACATTATAGTGGTTTACATGTAAAAATCCTTATTAAGTTGCATTATACTGGTTTACATGTAAAAACCCCTATTAAGTTCCATTATACTGGTTTACATGTAAAAACCCTATTAAGTTGCATTATACTGGTTTACATGAAAAAAACCCTATTAAGTTGCATTATACTGGTTTACATGGAAAAATCCCTATTAAGTTGCATATACTGGTTTACATGGAAAAATCCCCATTAAGTTGCATTATACTGGTTTACATGGAAAAATCCCTATTAAGTTGCATTATACTGGTTTACATGGAAAAAATCCCTATTAAGTTGCATAATACGGTTTACATGGAAAAATCCCCATTAAGTTGCATTATACTGGTTTACATGGAAAAATCCCCATTAAGTTGCATTATACTGGTTTACATGGAAAAATCCCTATTAAGTTGCATTGTACTGGTTTACATGGAAAAAACCCCATTAAGTTGCATTATACTGGTTTAACATGAAAAAAACCCTATTAAGTTGCATTATACTGGTTTACATGAAAAAACCCTATTAAGTTGCATTATACTGGTTTACATGGAAAAAACCCTATTAAGTTGCATTGTACTGGTTTACATGGAAAAAACCCTATTAAGTTGCATTATACTGGTTTACATGGAAAAATCCCTATTAGGTTGCATGATTACACTGAAGTCCTTGAAACTGCTGAAGTCCTTGAAACTGCTGAAGTCCTTGAAACTGCTGAAGTCCTTGAAACTGCTGAAGTCCTTGAAACTCTTGAAATCTTGAAACTGCTGAAATCCTTGAAACTGTTGAATCCTTGAAACTGTTGAATCATTGAAACTGTAGAAATGTCTGAAAGAGCTGAAGTCCTATTTAAAATGCATGGGCTATTAAAATGCATTGCAGAATTCTCAATGCAGATTTTTGTCCGATTGCGGAAAAACCGGAAATCGCTGAAGTCCCAAAAGTAATAGCAATAATCTCCCAAACATGTGGAACGTTTTGATGTATAACTTGTGGAAATTGTTGAAAATGTGAAAGCTGTGAAACGTGTCAAAAAAAATGACGGAATAAAGAAATACAAAAAAAACCAATGGTTGACTGCGGAAGGTTCCGCAGTCAATCAATTAAAACGTGCAATATTTACATTTATTATAAGTTCAGAAGTTACTGTATGAATAAAAATATGCACCAATCAGGGAGCAGTGTGTAAAGCAAAATATGAACCAGGCTGTTCACAGAATTCAACCACATGTTTGTGAAGTGTTTCATACCATTACCCTTTTCTGATAGTTAACAGTGCGTAATCCCTGGTATGAAACCATGATTTTACAAATGGGTAAGCAACTGATTAAATGGCAAAACATTTGTCAAAATCTAAAATATAAAACTTGAAGTGACATTTTGCATGCCAACCTGTCATACGCACATTACAGAATTAAATGTATTCTTGATTCGATCGGCAAATGAAAGACTGTCTCAGTAACTGCTTTATTGACTTATAGTTGATGCATTGAAGGACGTTGACTCATTCATCATCTGTACATTTTATTATCAATAGTGGAAAGATTGTTGTCATGTGATGTCATTTTATGGTGGAATAAGTAACCTTTATGGCCGACTATTGCTTGATTCCATTGTTATCACAGCGCAGGCATAATAAAGGGAGTATTGCTGCATTGTGATGGAGTCAGTTTAACGTGGATATCAAAGAGGAAAACAAGTGTTTTTTCTACAGAAAAGTTGGTTCTAGATTTGAAAAACTAGATGAACTATGCAAGTAAAACATTGAGAATCTTTTTCCTGTTTTCTAAATGTTGTTTCTGCTTTCCAGCTCTCTTTGTGTCCATCAGCGTCAGCCATCTGATGGGAATGTAACAAGATCTTTATATCAGCACTGTTTGATTTTTTATTTTTATTTGATCAACCTAACAGGATTGTTACAGATATTTTGTGACCATTTTACCTCCAGAGAATGCTAACTTAAAACTTGAACAACATAGCATTGTATTTATTATTTATGCAGTTCCTTGTAAAGTAATAAACAGTTTTGATGATGTATTAAGTCTTTTTGTAGGAACTTGGAATTTACTACAGTGAATACGTGTGGCGATGTTTGTCGATATGTTTTATATGAGTAACTGCAGATCGTAAGGAAGTTACTCGTTTTCTCTATGATTTATCTAAAATTACACCTTTTATATTATATTATATTATATTTTTTGCTTTTGTTGTGTTAAAAATCACGTGCAACGCTCTATGAATTTCTCGCATAGAAAATTTCACCTTTGGATATTATATTTATATTATCTGTTTTTGATTTTGTTGTGTTAAAAATCACGTGAATGCATTCATCACCTGTATGTATTTTAAATGGTTTGGTTTTAGTAGCTTAAAGTAGCAATATGTAAGATTTGTATTTGATTATTTATGTACATTTACATTACATTGCATTTACATTGCCCTATATGTAAAATTTGGTGTTTTGGTGATTAGATTATAGTAGTATATATCCTGTATAAACCAGAAAACTAAAGAAGCTAAAGGTGTGCACTTTTTTGCTGAATGGATATTTAGTTGAGTACATCTCCAAGTACTTCAAAAGTACTGCTGTAAAGTTCAAGTAAAAGTGAACAACACAGAGAGCTGCTAACAGACTTCTTCAATTTGCTCTTGAAATGTAAATAAAAGTGCCCGACAGATCCTAAATTTATTGAAAGATGTAAAAAGAAAAGAAAACAAAAGAAGAGTGTGAGGAATCCCTTCCTGTAGAAGAAATAAGAAACGCAATTAAAAATTGAAAACCAAATAAGTCACCATGGTAACGATGGTCTAAGGTCAGAATTCTACACATTTTCACATGAGATCGGAGTTCCTGTTTATAGTTTAAAATTAATCTATTTACAATGAAGAGTTACCTACTTCAATGAAACAAGGTCTCATAACTTTATGAGACCAAAGCCACATAAAGACCCAGTGATTATTGATAAATGCCAATGTTTTACATTACTCAATAATAATTATAAAATTGTAGCATCGCTTTTGGCTAAAAGATTAAAATGTGGTTTAAGAAAGGCAGTGTTCAGAGCCTCTTACATATTCTCAACACTAGATGTCTCCAAATCACTGCTCTAACCTTGAAAAAAGTCAGCTCATAAAATAAAACCAACTGTTTTCTCAAATTCATTAGCAGAAGGTGGATTGGACGTTTTGAGTTTTACTCATGCTTTAAATCACATTTTGAATGTTTATTGGATGCAACAATTGAAGAAAAAAAAATTGTTATGGAATATCTTTACTGTTGGAAAACTATCTGTGAAATTAGCCAAGTTTCACCAACAGGTTTTGGTCTTTACTTTACAAACACAGCTACTCTCCTCACAATTGTATTTGTGGAACAATGCTTACAAAAAAAATCTTTATACTGTTTTATATGCTCTTTATATTTAGAGAGCTGGTTTGACAAGAGTATAAATACTGTGAAACAACTGTTAGATGATAATGGTGATTTTTATGATTTTAAGGTTTTTATCGATCAGTACAAAATACCTGAGCATGAGTTTAATGTGAAGTCGATACCGCAAAGTATAAGATCATTAGACATATTTCAGTGATACAAGATAAGAAGTGCACAAACAAATATCTTAGGGATAGTCTTATACAATTGGCCAATCCAGTTTGTAAACATAGTTGGGGTTCATTTAACCGAAAATATTGGACTCAGGTTTTTTTGTTGCCCTACAAATATATAATCACATACAAAGTAAAGGAATGTTTATTTAAAACTGTACACAGATTTTTTTTTTAACCAAATGTAATTGATCAATGTTCTTTTTTCAATGTTATAGTGGAAGTATTGAACACTTATTAGTTGAATGTCCTATAATAGTTTTTTGCAATTTGCAAAACTATTTGGCTGGAATATTAAAATATACAGTATAAATATAAATCTTATACTGATCTTAGGAAAGTACTAAATCCTTAAAACTAAATTCAGTGAAAACAGACCTTCCTTTTCTGCTTATAAAGCATCTGATCTGAAAAAATATTAAGCCTCTTTTGAAAATGTAAAACTAGTAAGAAATGAATTAGAACAATCACATTGATTAGTCATAAAAGAGGTTTTTTTTTTTTTAAAGTGGGATAGAAATTACAGATCATCAGGAATTCTGGCCTACAAAACTGATATGAAGACAAAGATATATGAACTTAAAAATTTCAACATTTAAAAGTTGTATTGAAAATTGTTGTTGTGCTTGACTATTGGAGGAGGTGGGGTGGAGTGAGGGATCAGCTTCCTGATCGCCTGGTAGATAAAACTGTTTTTCAGTCAACTGGACCTGGACCATGGATATCCCAGTCTCCTCCCTGAAGGCAGTACTTTGAAGTGCTTTCGGAGTGAGACATGAGTGAGTTTATGTCCTGAATACAGGGGAGAGGGCTCCACAGATCTGCTCAGTTTCTCTCACAATGCACTGGAGGCTCCTGCAGCAGGTGGCAGAGCTGGCATCGTGCTACACAGTGATGGAGCTGGTCAGGATGCTCTCGAGTCTCTCTGTAGAAGTTGCACATAACTGAGACTGGGACTCTGACGCTTCTCCACTTGCTGCGAAAGCCCAGACTCGGATTACGTTTGTGGACCAGTGATGTAGTGTGCATGGTCCAGGAGAAGTCCTGTGTGTGCACATCAGGAACTTAGTGCTGGTCCCCCTCTCCACAGGGGACTGTTGATTGTTACAGGAGCATGGTGGACCTGCACTCTTTGAAAGTCCAAAACAAGGTCTTGTCCACATTTAGAGAGAGATGGTTCTATGTGCACCACATGGGAAGACTGCTCTCCTCACTCCTGCAGTTTGCCTTGTCTCTGTTGCTGAGGAGTCCCCCACTGCTGATGCAGAGGTTTGAGTGGTACTTGAGCTTCTTTTGTTTCAAGGTGAGTGAGGGCTACATGAAGAACAGGGGAGATGTCATCTCCAGTTGAGCGATTGCTCTGATGAGAACTGGTCAAACTGGCCTGGGTTCAGGGTTGGTGCGGGAGAACAGACTTGATGTGGTCCATACGAGCCACTCGAAGTGTGTGACTGGGAGGTAGTCATTGCAGCTGGAGGGTGGGAAGTTCTTTGGTGCTGGAATGATGATGGTGTCTTTGAGGTGCATTGGGACCACAGCTGCAGAGATGAGTAATCTTCATCTGACCTTCACCGTCAAAATGCTATGGTGTGTGTGCGTGTGTGTGTGTGTGTGTGTACAGCACTGCACTGCTGTTGAGTATTTTACAAACAATTAGTATTTCACCTTTGTTTTTTTAACCTTTTCCTGCCACTCTTGAGGATGAAATATCGGAACTCCATGAAAAAATATGTGTATGTTCCCTACAGCCTATACTCAATGGGTGACTCTTAAAGCTCTTCTGTAAAATGACGAGCGGCTGAACTGTTGTTGTGTAATTGTTCCCCCAAACTTCAACACAATAAGTTGGGTATGTCACCATGTCAATAGGTAACAGATCTAAAACACTTGCAGAGGGTATACCTCTCTCAGTCTGGTTCAGTGGAAACAACCATCAGACCTGCTGACCCTCCATGAGGAGAGAAGGCCTCAGAAAATGGCGAGAGAAGCTGGATGTTGTCAACAAGTTGTATGAAAGCAAAAACATAGAAGGTTAAGAGGAAGGAACGAAAAGCCTCAGGGATCACCGCAGCCTGGAGAGGATTCAGAGCAGCAGAAGCACTTATGTCTATTGCTGAATGGTCCAATGTTTTCTTTAGTGATGATGAGCAACTTTTGAAAACTAAAGTCGCAGAGTTTGGAGAAAGAATGGAGAATGCTTCTTTGCAGACAAGCTTTATGGAGATACTGACTTGATTTTCCCACAGGTTTTGGCACCTGCCCACTTAGAAAAAAGTACCAAAACCATCAAATAACTGAGTTTGAGTTGCCAGCATACTCTCCCTGAACCCCCATAGAGAATGTATGGAGCATTGTCAAAAGAAAGATGTCAGACATGAGACAACAGAAGAATCCTGGTCACACCTCAGCAGTGTCACAGGCTGACAGCAAGTAAGGACCCCATAAGTATTGAGATTTAATGTAATATATTCTAATCTTGTGAGATCTATTTTCCCATAGCAGATAGCTTTTTCTGTTTTTTTTTCTTTTTCACTATATTCCAATTATTCAGATTTCCCGTGTTTGTTGGATGGATTTCATTAGATGAATAAAATCAGGTACCTGAGCTTCTCACACAACTTACCCACAATTTAATTTCAATTGTGTGTTAGTCAATTCATTCAGGTATAAGTCATCTTTATTTACAGTAGTGCCTTTCACAGATACAGTCACTAAGCGCTATACAATTTGTTTTGGGCATTTATCCTCTCACTCCACGCAGGGAGTGGGGTCGCCAGGAGAGGTGCATGCCAGATTTAATAGTAAATAGTACATTTTTCACATCAATATCTGTAGTGGGGGTTTGTCCATAACTTAAACCATGTCCAAACTTAAACCAAAACAAATCAAAAGGCCACTCAGGCGTTTTCAGGTTGGCTTTACGCAGGGTAGAGAAAACATAATGTCCAAACAAAAGTGCATTTTAGGTGGGTTTATTCTCCAAGCAAATGGCAAACATGCAGAACTGCAGCCTCTCCTCTCGCTGGTAAAAAACCATATGACCAAAACGCCTCTACGCTGCGCCCTCCCCCCCATAGCCCTGTTTATCCTTGTGACCTACATTAAATTAAATAAGCAATAATTAACCTAAAATTATCTTGCAAACTAAGACAAATAGCTAACTAAAGTAGATCATAATAAGAATAAAATAATAGACAAATAGCTCGAATGTGTGATTGTCTGATGAAAACATTGTGCTGAAACGCTGCAAATGTTTTAAAACCTTCGATGTGAGGAAGTTCTTTCTCTGATTGTAAATACAAACTTCATAAATACTGAGTTGCAAACCATTAGCTTTTTTATCTCATAATTTCCCATAAATCAGTGGTTTTGTGTGTTGGTTGCAGCAGCAGAGTCTCATTCTCTCACACTTGGGTTTGTGGTTTTTAGTGATGCACATTTATTGGTCTCGGGCCCCTCACAGCAGGTAAACGCTGATGGTAGTGCTGGCTTTGCACTTTAACAGTTATTTGAAGCATTTCCCCTCTCTGGTGGTCAAAAGGCTTTGGTTTGAAAGTGATTTTCGATTAGGCTATAGAGACAGAAAACCACTAACACATTTATCACAAAAAAAGTTGACACACAAAGTAATTTTTAACCCTAGTTTTGTTGATCACCCATAACAAAGTCACGGCCTATTGCTGCCACAGCTACACTTTTCAAACAAAAAACAAAAGAAGAAATGGTATCTTGATCAAACTGATATAAACCTGTGTTGTAAATGAGCTGTATTCTGTTCTATTCACATCCAACAGGAATGCTGACCAGGACACAAAGAAGCAGGCTTGCTTTTTATTTTAAGGGTCTAGGATCATAGGTCAGATGGACATACAGTGCCTTGCGAAAGTATTCGACCCCCTTGAACCTTTCAATATTTCGCCACATTTCAGGCTTCAAACATAAAGATATAAAATTTTAATTTTTTGTCATGAATCAGCAACAAGTGGGACACAATCGTGAAGTGGAACAAAATTTATTGGATAATTTAAACTTTTTTAACAAATAAAAAACTGAATAGTGGGGCGTGCAATATTATTTGGCCCCTTTACTTTCAGTGCAGAAAACTCAGTCCAGAAGTTCAGTGAGGATCTTTGAATGATCCAATGTTGTCCTAAATGACTGATGATGATAAATAGAATGCACCTGTGTGTAATCAAGTCTCCGTATAAATGCACCTGCTCTTTGATAGTCTCAGGGTTCTGTTTAAAGCACAGAGAGAACCATGAAGACAAAGGAACACACCAGGCAGGTCCGAGATACTGTTGTGGAGAAGTTTAAAGCCGGATTTGGATACAAAAAGATTTCTCAAGCTTTAAACATCTCAAGGAGCACTGTGCAAGCAATTATATTGAAATTGAAGGAGTATCAGACCACTGCAAATCTACCAAGACCCGGCCGTCCCTCCAAACTTTCATCTCAAACAAGGAGAAGACTGATCAGAGATGCAGCCAAGAGGCCCATGATCGCTCTGGATGAACTGCAGATAACTACAGCTGAGGTGGGGATGGTGTGTTCAGGGTGATGAGCTGTGTTGCTTTTACAACAAACATATCGTTTTGCATTGTGGCCAAAAAGTTCGATTTTGGTTTCATCTGACCAGAGCACCTTCTTCCACATGTTTGGTGTGTCTCCCAGGTGGCTTGTGGCAAACTTTAAACGAGACTTTTTATGGAAATCTTTGAGAAATGGCTTTCTTCTTGCCACTCTTCCATAAAGGCTAGATTTGTGCAGTGCACGACTGATTGTTGTCCTATGGACAGACTCTCCCACCTCAGCTGTAGTTATCTGCAGTTCATCCAGAGTGATCATGGGCCACTTGGCTGCATCTCTGATCAGTCTTCTCCTTGTTTGAGATGAAAGTTTGGAGGGACGGCCGGGTCTTGGTAGATTTGCAGTGGTCTGATACTCCTTCAATTTCAATATAATTGCTTGCACAGTGCTCCTTGAGATGTTTAAAGCTTGGGAAATCTTTTTGTATCCAAATCCGGCTTTAAACTTCTCCACAACAGTATTTCGGACCTGCCTGGTGTGTTCCTTTGTCTTCATGGTTCTCTCTGGGCTTTAAACAGAACCCTGAGACTATCAAATAGCAGGTGCATTTATACGGAGACTTGATTACACACAGGTGCATTCTATTTATCATCATCAGTCATTTAGGACAACATTGGATCATTCAAAGATCCTCACTGAACTTCTGGAGTGAGTTTGCTGCACTGAAAGTAAAGGGGCCGAATAATATTGCGCCCCCCCACTTTTCAGTTTTTTATTTGTTTAAAAAGTTTAAATTATCCAATAAATTTTGTTCCACTTCACGATTGTGTCCCACTTGTTGATTCATGACAAAAAATTAGAATTTTATATCTTTATGTTTGAAGCTTGAAATGTGGCGAAATGTTGAAAGGTTGAAGGGGGCCAAATACTTTCGCAAGGCACTGTATATGGTAAAGGTAAATGTTAGTATTTAACCCACTTTAGTTTGCTATTCTGGGTCTTCTGGTGTTGAGCCTGAATCAGAGAGGAGACCCAGGCAGAAGAGCGCTATTGCCTGAATTGAACTGAATGTATTCTGATTATGTCATTAAACTCCTTTTAATCATAACTCAGAGTTCATTCCTTCTCCATCACTATCCATGTGTGCGGGAAACCCTGTCTTCAAAGATAAGGAGACACTACACCTGGCTCAAGAACCAAAAAGTCAGGTTGTAGGAGTGGCCATTACAACCCTCATCCAGATCGAACATTTGTTGGCTGAAAAAGTAGGTGAGGGCAAGAAGTCTCATGATACTGATCCAGTTACATCAGATCTGCCTGGAAGAATGGACCAAAAATCCTCAGATTTACTGTACTGTGGAAGGCTATCCAAAGTGTTACGTCCAAGTGAATCAGTTTATGGTGAATAATACCAAATATTATCACCCAACCATGGTTGGTTGCAGGGTAGCAGTCTCATCCAGGGGCACACCTCCCCAGGGAGGCCTCCTGGAGGCATCCGAAACGGATGCCCGAGCCACCTCAACTGGCTTCCCTCTGCGTGGAGAGGCAGCGGCTCTACTCCGGGCTCCTCCCGTGTGACTGAGCTCCTCACCTTATCTATAGGGAGGTCCCAGCTACTAGAGTAGATGGCAATTTGTACCCGTGATCTTGTCCTTTTGGTTATTACCCAAAGCTCATGACCAGAGGTGAGGATGGGAACGTAGATCAAATAATCACAATACATTAAAAAGAAAGATAAAAATATAAAATCCCTCAGTTGTACGCACAACTATACAGAACTGTTTTAAACCTATACTGAATAATGTCAGAGAAGAAGCCTGTCTCACATATTCAGGAGGATTGTTCCAGATTTTCGCAGCATGAATCTGAACTGCAGCCCTCCCAAGTTTAGTTCTGACTCGTAGGCACTAGCAGGAGTTTGATACAGGAATACACAGGCCTATCAGAGACTGTAATTAACTTTGGAGGAAACTACTGGGTTTTTGCTAAAATGTAAACCTTCTACTTATGTACTAAAAAGATTCTGCTCAACAAAAAGGCGATCAGTCCAGAGCTGAAGTGTACGTGCTGCCATTACGCTACTCCGTGCGCGCAGAAGCAGTCTGACGCGCGCCTTCCCAATCAATGTTTTTGTTAGATTAGTGGCGGCACGGGATTATGTTTCCCAACAGTAGAACCCGATCCACTGACGTTACGTAAGCGGCTGTGACATAACCCGCTGCACTGCCTGGTCTTGTGGTCAGGGCGCAGTGGACAGCGCCTGTGGGACCACTTTTTACGCATTGGATCTGGTACATAGGCGAACTCGAACCGGACAGGAAGCTGCGGCGGCGTGGACCGTGAATGGGGAAGATGTCTGTGCAGGATTTAAAGTGTTTGCGCAGGCCCGGCCGTTAAAACATCAGGTATTGCGCAATTCCCCCCCCTGTGTATTAAAGTTGGCAAAAAAGTGCATAATGTTAACCAGGTTATGTTTGTTTTGCCTGCGCCTGCGTGTTTAGGCCATCGCAGTGTTGTTCCTGTGGAGTTATGAAGAGCTATGAGGAGTCCCACTTGTCTCCCACCTTCATCAAGAGAGGTAAAAGTTCACCAAACTACATTTCCTCGTTTCTTTTGTTTAAACCAACCTACACATGTAAGCCTATCATATAAATATTCACTGTTATTGTGTGGTGTGCTCCTCATTCATACTCCTCTATAACCTGTGATGCAACACTGACATTTCCTCACTGTGGGACGGATAAAGGATCTCTTCATCTTAATCACTAATGCATTCATGACAACGTTTATGAACACTTCAACACACCTAACTTCACGTTTCCCCCTCAGTTTAAAGCAAACAAACTCTCAGTGGGTTGCAGAAGTGCTAATACAGCGTGAACTTTTGCACAGTTTGTCATGTTTACAACCACAAATATAACGTTTTCTTCTTCTTCTTTTTTTTGGAAGACCACAACAAAGTACCAGACAGACTGTGAAGTAAAAACAACCTGATTTTGTTGAAAAAAAGGAAATACAATACAGAATAGTGGGGCTAGCACAAGTGAACATATATAGCCTGAGGTAACACTTTGGCTTTTACTGCAATGAACGACTCCACAAGCTTTGTACATCTCGAGACTGAAAGTTTTGCCCATTTTAAGTTTTCATTAAACAACTCAAAACACATTTGAGCTTTGTCAGATTAGATGGCGAGTTTTTGTGAACAGCAGTTTTCAGATCTTTCCACTGATTTTTCCCCAGATTGGATTTAGGTCTGAACTTTGACTGGGCCATTCTGAGCTATGACACAGAGGACTGTAATCCCATATGTAGTTCTTATCTCTAATCAGTAAGCAATCTGTGGATGGAGTTTGAAACTTTCACAATTTAAGATGAGAAAATAGATCCTTTAATTTGTCTCACAGTGGGCCAAACATTTAAATACTTATAATTAATTAAGTATTATTTATTATTTTGACGTTCAAGTAAAACAGAATTAATTGTAAAAAAATAAAAAATAAATCAAACTCTCATCTGTTTTTTTCTTTATATTTTCCTTTGACTTTTTTCAAATGTTCATGCTTTAAAATATCCTAAAAAAACAGACACAATTCGACATGTTTCTAGCTTAACTTTGCCGCTTTTGCACAAGCTGGTCTTTTAGTTAGTTTTTCACATTTTAAAGAACCAGTCTGAATCTTCTTATGGCCGCTAAAGGTGATTCGTTAACAAGCTGCACTTACTTATTTTACCAACCAATGATAAAAAAAAAAGAAAAGTTACGCAGTGGACCTTTAAACCAATGGTCCCTGTCTGTGCTGCGTCTTCGGCCTTGATTGTCGCTGTCTGCATGATCCCTCAGCTCTATCTTTACCTACAAGTCCTGAACCATTGACTGAGCTGTGCTTAAAACTCTTGGTGCCAGGAAATCCAAGTAATCCCAGAGATTAGTTCTCATTGTGATTCTGTTTCTGGACAGCCTATTTACTATTCAAATCCTCTTTTAAATTTATACAAGAGGTTTTTATTTTAAGTCGTCTTTCTCTATTTCCATATGAACCTAATACTGCACATACTTCACCAAGTACTAGGAGCAAACACGCTTGTATTATTTAAAGATGTATGAATATACCATATTATGTAACTTACAATTAGAAGATCATTTTGTATTCCGTTTATTTGACAAAATGTGGTTTGGATCAAAATATGGGTCCGTTTTAATTCCAAGACATGCTCTACATTTCAACCCCAGATACACAAACACACAAATATTTAATGATAATATAATTTCTCCTTATTTAACAGATTCACTGAAACATGTCTGAATTAGCCTGGCCTTAGCCATCCCTACGCTCCGTTCAATCATCATTTCACTGCATGTAACGTCTGGGTCTAGTCCCTGTGTTAGCGATTACATTCGGTTGAATTTCGACCGACCAATCAGAGAGAGCGGAAGGCGGGTGTTGTAGTTAGTAGTGGGTGACGTCAAGAGTTTGCGTCGAACGGGAAGGTTGTAGTCTGGTAATGGCGAAAAATGCGACAGTAAAGTAATCCGGTCTGGTTCTATCAAGAAATTAAAGCCGGAGCAAGGGTAATGTTTAGCAAATGTAATCGCTGGAAAAAATTGTGGCGCTACTCCCCACGGGCTCCGTTAGCAGCAAAGGAGAAGGCTAGGCTAAATGCTAAATGCTAACAACAGACCCCGAGTCACTACATACGTGACGGTAAACTCAGATCCAATCGTTTCAATCTGCAAAAGGATTTAATCCCTCCCACCTGTAAACAGAGCTCAATGGAGCACCTCCAGACCTTAGTATGAAATATAATTTGTACTATGGTGTGGTACGACCAGGCTAGGTCTGAATAAGTTCTACACTAGTGTCCCTGTATTTAAGCCGACACAGGGACACTTCACTTATAGAACTCAACAGTTCTTATTCAGGATACAGGACGAGGGGACTCATGATTTTCCAGTGGTTATAAACAAGTTAAGTTTTTATGTTCTAGATTTGACCAATAGATTTCCAAACTGGTGATCCCATATCTCTGCACAGATTCAATGGTTGCTTTGAAGAAGATGTGCATAATGTTCAGACACACAGAATAATCTGAGTGTGAGGCCTTGATATACCTGCTCCAGCTCAGATAATGGCCTGTGTTTCCTCCTTGGTATTTAAAAGATCCCACCTGCTCTGTCTCCTGATGTGGATGGACACTGGCTCATGGTGAACATCTGCTCTGGGGTCAATTGACAATTACAGTCTACGCAATTCAATCCTGTAAGTGACTGCTCCGCTGTTGACTTACTGGATGTGCTTCTGAAATCTGTGGAGGTGGAATTTCTCTGTGGTCGCCACATGTAGTTTTGCTGAAGTGACTTTTTGACAAAGTCTTGGTTTTAGTGGCTGCTGTGGGTGTTGACTCAATTTTCTCAAGTGAAAAATCTTTTCATGCTCTGCTGCTTTGTTACGGACCTGAGGCTGTAAGTCGCTGAAGTCACTATAGTTTTTATGTTTTGACACATTTTAGTAAGAATGCATACTATAAATACAAGAATATATTAAGGATGTTCTTTGATCATATGTTATGCTTAATCCTTTTTTTTATATTAAACTCAGGACTTTGTTCTATTATTATCTTCAGTAGTGAAAACTAAAGCTGCAAAAGCCCAAGCCTTACATGTGGGCTATTTGAATAGATTCAACAATAGTAATAATACATCTTGTTTGATTTACTTTAATACATTATTTACATAAATACATAAATAATTATTTAATAATCACCTTGATTCAGTTACAGTATGTTTGTGGTCTGATATAACATAGTTGAAAGTCATCAAAGTCATTGACAACAGTAAAACACAAAATAGATAAAAACAAAAAGGTTATGTCTGAATGTCAAACATGTCAAAGGGCTTCTCCATTACTTACAATATAATATGTCAGGGGTTAACTTTGTGCTAAAACCTCTGGTTTCCTTTGGTTCAGGTCTTTAGTGGCCTAGGTGTTGAACTTTCTGTGCTTTTTCCGCTGTTGTGTGAGCGTCTGTTCATTCCATGCATTTTGCTTGTGTAGCAAAACAGATTTGATGAGAGGAGGAAGGCAGAAACCACAGGCCTTGAGCCCAGACCAGCTTCAACGAACGCACCAGTGATATTATCTCTTTTGTCACATAAGGACATAAATAAGATTCACAAGTGCCCCCTCTCTTGGCTCACCTTCCCCCAGTGTCATGTTGACTTTTTCACTGTTGTGGTTAAACAGCCAGACACGCACTAGCGCTGCTCATTGCTTCATAGTTGCCCACAGCCTCTGCTTTTAGCCTGCAAAGTTGAGTGTGCGTGATATCACCCACTGTTTGGAGACATGACATAATATAAGGCTTTTAACAAAGATAAAGATAGATCAGCATCAGTGTTAGAAGCAAACAATCAATTGCACCTGTACAAAACAGAATAAGATGATGTTTTTAAACGTGATTTTATATTTTTATTTTTTATTCAACATTTTGCACTAGACAAAACATGTTGAAATCCTGCCCTTATAACTTAGTATGCATATTGTACCCCATACTTTTGAAACAGCAGTCACATCTTGAGATGTTATTGTCCCATTACATTTATACACTTGATGTTGTTGTGTCACCTCTTACTACTATTTGTCAAACATGAAAGTTAGTACAACGTGTACAGTACAATATATACTTCTACTAAGTACTACGAAGACCCTTACTTCCAGTAGTGCATACGCGCTACAAATCCGTTTTGTGCTGCAATCGTTTAGAAATTTGTACATACGTCCCTACAATGATAATAAAAACACTGCCATATTGGTTCAACTGCCTTTTAGAATAGCAATTACAGAAATAAAATAATAATGAAACATCTCTAAAATACGTCCACCTCGTCAACCTCAATCCTCAATTTACACAATTTAGATCTTCAATAATAGGTAGATAGTGTTGGAATTCATTTCATGTTTGTCGCCAGATTTAAATATTTAGTCAAATTTTGAGCATATTGAGCCGACATGTATTTATTTGAACTTTCTTTTGCAAAAACAACAGAAATCAACAACTTTAGAACTTTTACATATTATTGCAAATACAATACATAGTATCTTTGTCTTTTATTGCATTTTTGGGGGCTCTAATGCAGAATGAGGCTTTGGGCTAAAACCGACTCTCCTTTCTGTCAATAACAGTTCCTCTGCAGTTCAATGATTGCAATGATTTAGCATTTTTATTCTCATCTTCATATGAAATGATTATAGTTATATTGTAAGACTAGTTTGGACGTTTCCCCTAAACTAGACCCAGAAACGTCTTGTCTTAGACCTGGTTTTGACGTGCCTGTGGTGGCAGTTTTGTTACTCAGCTGTACTTAGCTGCAGCAAAGTTTGAGAAGCACTGGCAAAGCGACAAAAAGAGCCATAAAATACCAAGTAGTAGTTTGTAATTTGATCTCAGTCTAGCTTCGGATAATAATCATGTCCTTCTTATTTCTGAATGTTGTTGTTGTTGTTTCTTCCAGAAGCTGTTCTGTCTAAGAAGACTCATCTGAGTAAGTACTCTTCCCTTGTGCACCTCCTGGATCGTGTTTGTTCTATATAGATACGGCTCGTGCTTTTGCGGTGAGCTACAGCGGGTGCAACATGCAGAACACCTGTAGGAAACGCAGAGTTTGGGAGTTGGGCCATTAGCCATAGACACACACACACACACACACACACACACACACACACACACACACACACACACACACACACACACACACACACACACACACACACACACACACACACACACACACACACACACACACACACACACACACACACACACACACACACACACACACACACACACACACACACACACACACACACACGCACACGCACCTGTTAAACTCACACACCACACAAAACACAAGAATCGACAAAGAGATCGCAGCGATTTGAACAAGCCTTTTTATAACTCCTCGGTTCAACACTTTCTCCCACAATCCAGCACCTGGAAGGGTTTAGAAAGGATAGAAGAGGGCAGATGAAACTAGTAAATGTAATTACTTTTCTTGATGGATCAGAACACCACAGTAAATATTTCTAGTTTTAAAAATTGTTTTATATCAGTCAAGTCGCAGTTTATGACAAAAATGACAAAGAAAACATATACTGTATACTGAATTAAATTAGATACATTTATTTTTGTATAGGCCTAAATCACAACAGCAGTTATCTCAGACAACTATGTAATGTTGTCAATTCACCAACAACAGATCAGAGAATCAAACAGTTTGAGCATGAATGTCCCATCGAATTCAAAGATGTCATATGTCATAATTATTCTTGTAATTTCATAAATATTGTGTAAAATAGACAAGCTTGTTGGTGTTTGTTTAATTCATGGTTGATATGGTAACTACTACTTCTACCTCTGTCACGTCTGCGCTCCAGTTGTGGTTGGAAAAACAATGAGCAGTGGTATCGCACAGCAAAAACTCAATAAAATGATGAAAGCTGTGGGGAAGAGTTAAAATAATCCAAAATGCAGATCTGTTTCAGTCAATTCTCAACTCTTTTGTTAGAAATTCAGTTATCCGCAGAATTTGTTTGTTCGTTCGGTAGCTCTAAATCAGGGGTGTCAAACCGGTCCTCAAAGGGCCGGTGTGGCTGCAGGTTTTAGTTCCAACCTTACCAGGAGAACACCAGACTCCACCCATTTCCTCAGGTGAGACCATTTTTCACCTTAAGATTTGAGGAAATGGGTGGAGTCTGGTGTGCTCCTGCTCAAGTTGGAACTAAAACCTGCAGCCACACCGGCCCTTTCTGGAACCGGTTTGACACCCCTGCTCTAAATGTTATGGAACAACATTCTAGAGTTACTTCCAACATAATCCATAATGAACGAGGGATTACATTCTTGAGGCAATCTGGATCACCGTCTGGAAGCAGAGATCTTTCCTGAAATATTTATTTATTTATTGATTCATTTAGGATATTGACTTTGACATGGATCACCTCTTTTCCAAGGGGGTCCCTGCTTTTTTCCCTCAGCCTCGCCCTGATCCGAGGCCACGCCCCCTGCTGACCGGCACGTGACTTTGTTACACAAAGGACTGTGCTCCTAAACAAGTCATTGAAGTTTTGCGCTTGTTTTGCCTTTTTATTGTTGTTGTTGATCAAACCGAATGCAACCTCCGTGCTGTGAGCAGAGGGTTGTGACGGTTCTATGCAGCTTGTGTCTCATGGACATAGGTTTTATTTTTCCTCGTATTGAAATGCCTTTCCCAAGAGCACACCAGCATTAAACCTCTCGATTTTTCAAACCTGAGCATATATAATCTTTATTCCGGACTCAAGGTCCATACAAGAGACAACAGAAGGACACCACCAGACACAGAAACATAAAAAATAAAATAGCAAAGTCTAAGGACTCATTTACAAAGAGACTTGAGAGAAATACAGCGTGTTGCACTGAACTTGACATTCACCAAAACAACAACAATCAGGTTCACAGACTCGTTCAATCGGCGAATAAAACTAAACATTGCATTTCTCAGGACAGACTTCAGTGTGTTCACTCCGTTGCTCACGAACAACTCACTCGCATGAGTCGATCTGGGCTTCTTTAACAGCATCCTCAGAGCGTCATTGAAAGCTACCTGCAGTTTCTGAAGAGTAGCTTTTTTGTCATATACATTCGATAACAACAAAAATGAATAAACTAAAATAAATCAGTATTATTTTTATTGAGGAATAGAAATGGGATTCTTGCCTGAGAGCTTTTCTAATTTTGCTATTTTATGTATTAGAGTGAATTTTGAACTTTGTTGATATTATCCCTGAATTAAACATTTATCATCCGCTAGCAGCAACAGTGTTTTTCTAACTGCAGAGGCTGAAATCTATTGTCGGCGATACAGCGAGTGAGGGGGTTTCCACCTCGTAGCCACCAAGGTTCTTTAGAGGCCGTAAGGAACCCTTTGTTCCACTGTTGACTTACGCAATGATTCACTGTAAGTATTGTACCGTACTGTAGTATGTACTTTTTGCTAAAAACATCTGGTATTTATTCAATGCAACTGCATAAACAATCCAACCCAAAAACATTGAGTAGTTGTCATTTTGAGTGGTTTATTCACTTGTGACCCTACGGTAAATAAATTGTGACCCTCTGACTTTTCAAACTAACAGGAACACTTAAGTTTTAGTGATTTAGCATTGATTTAAAAAAAAAAAAACTATGATTAAAATCAAGTAAAAATATTCCAGAGTAAGAGTCCACAAAACTTTACTATTCATCGGTTTTAATATAAAACTTAAAAACACTGAGAATGTTTCCAAATGTTATCAAATCTAACTTTTTAGCCATGTATTGATAAAGGATTTTGCTCTACCCATTGAGTGCCTCAGTTTTCTCCTTTGTTATAAAATCTAACCTTTAAATGCTAACAGACAGAAGATTGGTCCCAAGATAATGCTAGAATTGTGGTTTTGTAAGAAATGAAAAAAGACAATTGGACTATAACATGGTAATTTTTCGAGCTAATAAACATACTAAATATTCCCCAGCTCACATTTAGCATATATTGTTGTATGTTGCAAAGGAATCGTCTTACTATCTTCAATTTCTATCTGTGAGAATATGCCCAAAATCATAGTCTGTGTTCGCCCACTGCTGCCGTTTTAAAGCTAAAAAGTACCTTGAGAAAGTCAAACCACGGGACTGTCCCCCTTCCCTTTGATTCTGTCGCCTCTCACTCACAAAGACACACGCACAGGCGGGTCTGCCACTCCATCCTCTCACACCTGCTGCAGCGAGCTCCAGGCATCTGCCAACCTCAAGGACCAAACCCAGAGACACCCAGAGACACCCAGAAAGACCAGGGAAGACTTACGTTTGTCAATAGTGAAAAGAAAAGTGAGTTTGTGAAAGTGGGACACGGCCGACTTCAGAGGAGGATGTTGCGAGGTAGGGATCCTTTGGTGCATCTTAACCTATATAAGTGTGGGCGACGTATTATGGGCACGAAACTACAGCTTTGATCAAGTATCTGACAATGCAATTACATTTTTTACAACATTAACATAGGACCGTCAAGTGTATTTGGTTAAAGCTGGTGTACCCAACTATTTCTGGCAATAATACATGTCGTTAGTCTTGTAAAAGTTCAATGTTTTGAATAAATCAGAGCCCAACATGCTGTCTTTATCTTCGTCAGAAACATCTTATCTTTTGCATACACTCTGACCCTGCGAGCTGACAGTGGATTCGCTGAGTGAGGGTGGTCCTCTCTTTTTCACTTTTCTCTCTGAAAAAGCTGATCTAAATTTTTAGTTTTGCAGTTTAAAAGTTGAGTCCCCCAGCTTTAATCAGTCATTGTGATCATTCAGGTCACAATAAGCAGTTGTGCTTTTCAGACTCTGAATGATAACACTAACATTTTGTGGGGGTGGTTGATTGAAGCCATTATTTTATTACACAACTATGTTTACACTAGAGCTTTTACTCTGACAGCACTAGTTTACACAAATCAGAATTCTGTTGCAATGCCAACAGAAACTGCTCAAAGGACCAACATCAAAGTTTCCATACTGTCTGAGATCACAAAGTTACATTTTGTACTAAAGGTGTCTCCATCCTTGACATGACACGGCTTCACCACCAACTAATTCCTAATTATTCTTGGGACAAGTGCTGCAGACTACTGTGTGACAGTTTTTCTATGTTTTGTGTTCTGTCCCTACTCAAGGGGTAAAATAATAATAATGATAAACATAAGTGGACAAAATCTAGTATCGTTCGTATTCTCTAAAACATTTTTTGTCAATGTATGAGCACATAATAATCTGCAATTAGCACTTTTTAAAGTTAGATTCACCAAAAAGGAGGCCAAGAACAAAGATAAAGTGGTATCTCATTAATTTTATTATTTTATAAAGGTGGTCACAGACTTAAAGAATCTGAAGGAATAAGACACTAATATTAATGAAAGCAATATATTTGCTTGTAGTTCATACTCATAGATTTAACTTGTATTTCCTCATGATAATCAGTCATTTGATATTGTCACATATCTATATAGTAATATGGAAGAAGTGTGTATTGCTCTATAACAACTATTACATATCTGATATTTACTGTTATCAGTACTACTGTATTATTTAATATCTGATTATTCTGCCTTTCACCGTCACTTTACCTGTTGATATCTTACTGTATTAGTCATATCCATCTGATCATTCTCCCATTCAAGTCACTTTACCTGTTGATATTATTTCTGATGTTTATTCTGCTCATATTCATATTCTCATATTCTCCGCTGCTAATGTATAATATAGACATCTGTGAATACTCCGAACCAAGTGCAATTATAGCCCAGAGTTTATCCTATTTTATTTTATTTTATTTTATCTTAAATTTATTGTCTATTATCTTAAATAATAGACTTTGATGTGTGCAATCTGAGTGCTCTTATTTCCTTTCTCTGCTGTAATGTGCAACGATGACACTGAAATTTCTCCACTGTGAGACTAATAAAGGTTTATCTTATCTTATCTT